TGGAGCCACAGGGATCGAGGAGTGGGAGAACAACCCGGAACTGGCCGCGTATTTCAGGAAGACCTCCGTGGGAGACTGTAATCACTGGTTTCAGGAATTCCTAGAACACTGGGAGGAAAGGCTGGAGCCGGAGACCACAGGTAAGTGAGCAGAGTGTGGAGGAGGTGGTAGCTCTGCCTTCCCTGTGCGGATGTGAGCACGTATGTGTGTGGAATTGAAAAGATGATGGATTGACTGAGTGATTGATTTCTTAGTGGTCTCCCTGTCTGGAGAGTGAGTGACGGGCACAGGATAGGATTTCCCACCATCCTCCTTTCCCTCCCCACTTCCCTCGGCTCAGGAGCCCCGAGCCCCCTCCCCCCAATAACCAGTGATCCGGTCCCCCTGCACTGCTAGATGGTCCCCAAATCTATAGGCATCACTGTGCTTCCAGGCCTTCCTTCTCTCCTTCCTGTTGTGATCTTTATCAGCTCAAAGGTCACTTCTTACGAAGCCCTCACCACCTTCCCCAGACGGAATTAAGCACCCCCAGATCTGTCCTCAGAAAGGTCTTTCCCCGGCAAGCATGTCTGCCTGAACGGTAATCAGATGGACATTTGCTGCCTCCCTGAGGAGAGATGTGAGCTCCATAAGGACCGGGCACAACGTCTGTTCATCTTCCTCCCCAGGACCTGGCAGGGTGACTTCACATAAAGGGTCAGTCACTATGTGGGGGGACATGTGCTCTCTGGGGACAGTAGGTGCTGAGGAAGGTGTATTTTTAGATCTGATAAGGTTTTTGCTTTATGTTTGTTTTAGCACCAACATTACAGTCCTCAGATAATGAGCAGTCTACAGACCTCCAGTTAATGTCATGGGTCATCCCATCCATCTTCGTCAGTTTAGTCCTAATTTAGCATCACCATCGGAAACCACAGGAGGTCACGTACCACCCAAGGTGAGAAGCAGGCTGGCCTTTGGCTCTTGGGCAGGTCATGATCTGGCAAGGACCTGGGAGAGGTGAGCCACAGGCCTCCCCTAAGCTCTTGTCCACTGATCCAGCTCTACATAGAAATGCACTTTCTATGTCTTGAGCCCCCACACTCCACAGCAGAGGCTGGTCTGGGCAGCACAATAGTGCAGTGAGGGGAGGGGCAAAGTACCTTCTCCTGTGGGGGCCAGGGTCAGAGTTCTACAAGGCCTATAGTGAGCGTTTTCTTGATCTGGTCTAGCCCAGGGCTCCCCCTGTCTTTTGGTGAAAACATTTTTTGTTCTCTGAGGTCAGCATTATTTAGCTCAACAATTTTCCTAATGTTCTAACAGCTGTTCCATTATCTGATATTCCTTCTCTGGACCGTGAGAAGGTGACAATGTTTCACTACCTCTTACTGGCAAAACCCAACCCTTGATGACAGTCTGGCTGCCGATCCAGGCAGAGAAAAATATGAGAAGGGCTTAACTACCTCAACCAAGCCGGTGGGTTTATGCTGCACTCCCAGGAGCAAAGGGGGTTGGGGAGCCAGGAAGGAGGGAAAAGGCCACTTTTAGAAACTAGGTCTCACAGTGAGGATTTCAAGGAGGCTGGGCCCCTCCAGACGACTGGGAGCTGCTGACCCAGCCTCCTTCTGGCTCCCTGAGCCTGAGGGCTGCAGGCCTGCATATTCCGGCAGCAGCAGGTCAGGGCCGCTCCAGTGAATGTTGGTGCCACAGCTGAGCTGAGCAGAGGTGAGGGGCAGGCTGCCCCAGGGAAGCACGTGCTAGACTGAAGGGGGAAGAAAATCTTCCTCCGCCTTTGGGAGAGGCCTCCCCATAGCCTCTCACAGGCCTTCCCTTCAGTGGGAGCGCCAGCACCTGGGAGATTTTGTGTGCCCGTGACACACTCTGACTTTGTCTTCTTTGGCCTTGTTTGACTGCTTTTGCTGATGTGACAGGTGAGAGAATAACAAACAAGAAGACAAAAGGGTTGGTGGGAAGCCTCTCAGATCAGGAGACAACAGGCAGGAGCCCAAATGATCCAGAATGTAGCACAAACACTTGTTTCTTTTCTGAGGGTAAAAGATGGTTCCAGGACTGAAGAGCATGTCTCGACTTTTCACAGCCCCTCAGACTCAGAGAAGCACAGAAGGGTGCAGAGCCAGGACCCCCTGACCTGAAGGGAGAAGCAGCACCTGGGACCAACTGCCTGGGGTCCAGGCCCTCCTTCAGGCCCAGCCGCCCTTCCTGCCCTGCCTGTGACACACTTAGTGCAATGACCGCTGGGCTGGCGGGTGTAGGAGATTTCAGCTTCAGCTGGTTATGCGTCTTCTAATTGTGCAGAGGCTTCCTCATTTCTGTAGGGCCTGGGTTTCTTACCTGTAAAATTAAAAGGAGGAACTAGAAATAATTATAATAATAATAATAATTCGCATTTATTGAGTATCTTTCATGAGTCAGATGCCCTTCTAAGCACTTCACGTGCACTAGTTTAACTTTTTAAAATGCCTATAAAGCACTTAAGTCAGTCACTAGGATGAAAATCTGATTCCAACATACAATGATCTACAAACAACGTGCAAATCTCAGTTTGCTGGACCTTTTCCCTTAATGATCTCCATTCCATCTATCAGAGATCATTAAAATATAGACACATCTCCATCTATTCAGATCACAGTCCTGACATTTATATCCTCACATAAAAATTCTTCTGTCCATTCATAAGGTTGTGACATTAAGCCTTTCAAATCAAAGATATTTTATTTCTAAAAAACTGAAAGGAGAAAGAATTAGGGACAACGATGGAGCCTCAGTACAGAATGAGACCCAGCTCATTTCTTCCATGGTGGGAGGACAAGAAAGAGGGGGACAGGACTGCATTTGTCAGGGAAACTTTGGCTGTGCTGGAAGGGCTTGGACATCTGATACCCTAGAAATAACCACTCTTAACCGTAAACAAAACATTGTCTTTTTCACTTTTTCAAAAGGGGAACGTTTTGATGGGTCTGAATACCTTCAAGGAGAATTTTGCCACACGTGAAAATTTTTCCTCATAACGAGCTTTCTCAGGCTCTGAGGTGTAAGGCAAAAAGGAAACCTTATGTTGCTTCCTGGGCATCTCAAAGTGGGTGCAGTCATGTGGCGTAAACGTCTCACAGAGGAAGAACCTGGAGCCCAAAGTGCTGGCCTCCAGACACGACCTTCAGGGCTAAGAGGCCTTTTTTTCTTTTTCCAGACTCAAAGTCACTCAGAAACTTACTGTATTTTTCGTGAATGACAAAAACATTGTGTTAATTTTTTTTCTTTTCTCTTTCTATTTTTACCTTCTAATTCTGCCTCCTGCTCTGTTCTGGACCTGAAAGCTGTGAGTTCCCAAATGTCAGCTCTGAAAATAAAAATTATAGCAAAGACTTCTATTTTCCTATCCAGTTATTTATTCTTGCCCTCCTAAAAAACAGAGACAATTAACAATGTACAATTCACGACGTTCAAGTTTCTAATAAAAAAAAACTGTTAAAAGAAGAAAATATGATTCATAATCAGGAGAAAATTGAATCTACAGAAATGGGCTCAGAAATAAACAAGAAGCGGGAGCTGCTCACAGGCAGCTAGACTCTCGGGTAGCATTACCTGAATTGGACATTTTCATGTACCTTATTAAGTCGTGTAGAACACAACTCTCTAGATCTTGCAAGACCCAAGATGATAGCCTCTGCTCGCGCTGTAGAGAGGACTCAGCAGGTCCTCAGAATGGCCTGTGTTCAGACTTCTAGTTATGTCTGGGTAAAAGTGACTGACTGTGACTATTATTTGTGTACTTTTCCACAGCGCCGCCGCCTTATGTTGCCCCCGAACATCTTGGGGACCTAAGATCGGGAGAGTCAGGGACGTTGGAGATGAAGGGTTGAAGATGGTGCCTGGTGATCCCCGGTTCCTAGCTGAGCACGCCCTGCCTCTGGAGCAGGCCAAGGATTTGTGAACCCCCTTCCCCTTCTCCCCAAGCGCGCGTAACCCTTTGGGCTGACACCCGAGGAGGACTGACTAATAACGCGCAGCGCGTTAAACACAAACCCGGCCCAGACTCGGAGGGCAAGGGGCGCAGATCCCTCTCGGG